ACCACGCGTCGAATTCACCACGCGGCGAATTCACCACGCGTCGAATCCATCACGCGTCGAATTCATCACGCGTCGAATTCACCACGCGTTGAATCGCTCACGCGTATTCACCACGCGTCGAATTCACCACGCGTCGAATTCACCACGCGTCGAATTCACCACGCGTCGAATTCACCACGCGTCGAATTCACCACGCGTCGAATTCACCACGCGTCGAATTCACCACGCGTCGAATTCCTCACGCGTCGAATTTACCATGCGTGGAATCCACCACGCGTCGAATCCCTCACACGTCGAATTCACCACGCGTCGAATTCACTACGCGTCGAATTTACTACGCGTCGAATTCACCACGCGTCGAATTCACCACGCGTCGAATTCACCACGCGTCGAATTCACCACGCGTCGAATTCACCACGCGTCGAATTCACCACGCGTCGAATCCCTCACGCGTCGAATTCACCACGCGTCGAATCCATCACGCGCCGTATCCATCATGCGTTGAATTCACCACGCGTCGAATTCATCACCCGTCGAATCTACCACGTACCATATATTTTTAACCAATTACCATATCAACCTTGATCAACATTTATCATCGTCGTCAAATCTATTAAGCCCCAGTCCAACGCAGATAAAAAATAAGCGTTTCTATGAAATTTTCCCAAATAGAAAGAACCGTAAAGTGGACTCATATCGCAGTTATCGTTCCGCAGAGCAATGCAGCTTTGATAAGGAGACCGCTTATGCAACCTGTCGCTCGAATTGCTCATTTAAAATTCCGATAAGACTGCATTCGTTGACACGACTGTTGCACTTAGCATACTCGTTGCGGCTGATCAGCATACAAATCTCGCCACTGAATTCGGATGGCTTAATAGCAGGAGAATCTATAAAATAGTCGTATGTAACTGTTATTTTAACGAACTATATTTCATCTAAAGAATTTACGCGGTTTCAAAAAAACGAGAAAGTTACAGAAACATTTAAAGTCGATATCTTCGATTTTATTACTATTTTATGAGGTTGGAAATAAAAATAGTACCGGATATTAGTCGAGGATATTGAAAGCAAGTTTCTTTGAAACGTTCTAATATTTCATTCGAAAGTAAATATTAAATATAGCTGCAGTTAATATTAGATTTATTTGATTCAGTTTTTTGCTGTAGGTTCTTTTTCCCAGCGACGTCACATCTTTCCATGTTAATAGACCATTGTTTGCTCACCTGCAAATTTCTCTTCTCGAGGAAGAAGACCCTCATTTGCATACGCTCAATGGCAATATCGCAATTATAAGTTTAATTATTACCACGAACGCCAGCCCGGAGGTACGCGACACCGCACTTCCCTCGATTGTTGCTCAAAGGCCACAGCTTCTTCTTCGCAAGCCGATTAACATATTTCCACGTGACTTGGAGCCTAAACGTTCTATTTGTCGAATATTACGGAGCATATTCGCGTGGGAAGTCGAAAAATGAACGGCAATCCGCTTGGCGAGTAGAAACCAGGAGACCCGTATTCTTAATAACGTTCTAATAGAGTTAACAGCTCTCTAACGATGCGGTACGTCGAGTGTGACGCTTTAATAGCGTTAAACATGCTGGAGGAAAAAAAGTGGAACAGCAGAAACGTAGAGATACAGTCTCCGTATAATACGCATGGATCGTGGCCTCTTCGGGGTAATTTAGCATTCAAAATTGCCGGATAAAATAGGACGCAGGAAAGAGGTAATAACGTAATAGAGAACGTGAGCGCGTGTTTCAAAGAGGTGTTGCGGTACGCCATTCAGTTTTTGCGTCTTAGATTGATTAACATCTTCTTACTGTATCGTGAGATTCTGAGTTCATCGGGTCCATCATTGTTCTGCATCTCAGTTTTGTGGAGATCTTTCGTCTACTTTGATTTCTTATAATTCTTTCATATTGAGTCAACTAGTTGATGAATTAGAAATAGTTGAACAAAGTTGTAGGAATATTTATGAAACACGTATGTAGCCACTTTTGTCAAATAAATATACTACAAGTGGTACATGGAGATACTTTTATGTCATCAAATCATATGAAAGTACCTACGTACTGAGTTTACCATTTCGCTTCCTGAAGAGTATCAATATTTCCCGATACACGATACCGAATAAATAGAGCAGAAAAGGTCACCCATCCAATATTAATCTCTGTCTATCGAACAAATTCCATCCTTCCAGTGAAAGTGTTCCAAACTCGACTGCGAACTGGAGCACTCGAGCTTCGCTTTCGTTCGTATTCCCGATAAAAAAACAACTTCATGATTACTCTACACACACTCGATAGCTTCTTCATGGAACATTCTCCCACGTGTTCGGTCAAAGTGTAACCACGGAGCAGCAAAGTTACATCCTGGCAAAGGTTCGAGGAACGACGGGTCGTGACGGGGTCTTTGCTCGACAACCTTTTGCCCACCCAGGTCGTGGCTGCGGTTTTAGGTATATACAAGGGACGAGCTGTCGCGATACCGAACACGCTGCTTCCACGAGCTTCTCTAGCTTCACAATGCCGCTAATGCATGAGTTTCCTCGTGGAGGAGTGGGCAGTGGCGTAGAGAATGTCCGACACGCCAGACAGTTACGATCGAATTGTAAATCCACGTGTCACGGTTATGGCGGAACCGTTCGACGGCCACCGTCTTCGGGTTAATTGACAACGACTCCTCGATTCACCTTGTAACGCCGACTTATTTCTATGTTTACAGTTTTCCAAGATGTACCGATAGGTTGACTGTTGTTCTTCTACGCTAATTTGTCACGCGTTGTAATTATGCATCGTAACTCCCTACTCTCCCTACTCTACCACCCAATTCACCACGCGTCGAATTCATCGCGCGTCGAATCCCTCACGCGTCGAATGCACCACGCGTCGAATTCACCACGCGTGGAATCCATCACGCGTCGAATCCCTCACACGTCGAATCCCTCACGCGTCGAATTCACCACGCGTCGAATTCACCACGCGTGGAATCCATCACGCGTCGAATTCACCACGCGTCGAATCCCTCACGCGTTGAATTCACCACGCGTCGAATTTATCGCGCGTCGAATCCCTCACGCGTCGAATTCACCACGCGTCGAATTCACCACGCGTCGAATCCCTCTCGCGTCGAATTCACCACGCGTCGAATTCACCACGCGTGGAATTCACTACGCGTGGAATCCATCACGCGTCGAGTTCACCACGCGTCGAATCCCTCACACGTCGAATTCACCACGCGTCGAATCCCTCACGCGTCTACGTGTTCTATTTGCTGTAGATATATTTAACGCATAGTATTTGTCATGCGAAGTAATACCACCCATTGTATTTATCATACAAGTATTTACTACAAAATTAAAATTAGGAATTTGACCATAAAGAAATACCGTCTGAACTCAAAACCATTGTACATTGAAGATGCGTTTGCAACCGTTAATCTTCCTCAATCTCAATGGTATCATTAACCGTTGAAAGTATCCAATAGAACCGTCCGACTTAATTGATTAAAGCCGTTCAATAGTGTCCATTATACTCTGATTTCATTGACCCTGACAAGACACTTGTATCTAAGAAACCGTGTCTATTATCGTTTTTCAATACAGTCTCGACTTGTCTGAGCGAGACGAATACAATGCAGACGGTAGAAAAACAAAAATACGTAGCTGCATTTTCGTTTGTCAATCGTGGAGAGTATGAAAGAGAGTACTGGCATGGCAGAACGGGGCTCGAAGCGGATTAAAGCGATCGCAAGTACAATGAAGGGCATTGTGAACGGTGGATACGCCACTGTGAAGTGGAGGCATGATTGCTGTACGTATGAAAAGGGGTTGGCGGGAGGAGAAGGGTTAGGGTGCCACTGGAGCCGCGTGAGAAACGCTGCACAATTACGCGAACCACCCACGTGTCACATCTCAATGCGGGATCACGATACCATTTTCTTATACTCGATACTTTATATTTTATAGCGACATTGGTACAACTAGGTACTTTATTAAAATAATTCCTTGATTTTTAGATCTCTGTACCTCTAGATTTCTAGATATCTATAACGCTCCTTATACTTTTAGAGTTCTGACTCTCCCAATTTTCTATATCTATAGATATTTATATCTTCAATACTATATCTTCTGTATGTCTACATTTATAACTCCTTATGTCCTTACAACCTCTCCAAATCTCTTTATCTCTAAATTTCTATATCTGCAATCTTGATGCTCTCAAGTCCTTATGTCCTTGAATCGCAGTATTCTTCAAATCTCTACAGATCTAGTTTCTATCCTTTCTTTATGTCCTCAACTCTTTACATCTCCAACTTCAGTATCTCCAAATTCTTCAAATTTGTATTCTCCAAATCTCTACAGATCTAGTCTCTATCTTTCCTTTGTATCCCCAACTCTTTACATCTGCAACTTCACGTACCTCCAGTATCTCCAGTTATATTAAATAACTATCAAGTTTGCAACAACGGGTCATTAATAACGATGAAACGTTCGAAAACAAGAAACGCTTCCCGCCAGCGTGATTCAATTACCGTTCGAGAAGGTCGAAGCGAAACGATTTAACGCCTTCAAGGGGCCAGCGTGAACTCGCGAGCGGATTACACGCTTTCGCGAGCGTGTCGACTCGTTTTACGCTTTGATCATAGCCGGGGAACAGAAATCGTGTTACTACGGATATCACCAAACGTATTAATGATTTATCACCGAGGAGATGAAATTTTTCATTTATCTGACTCGAATTTTCTCTGATTTCAGCTACGAAAGCACGAAGAATGGTTTCACTCTGTTGGTTCGAGGAAACGGTCCCGAGTGTTTGGAGTTTCTGGACAAAGTTCTGTCTCTTGTGCAGGTATATTTTATTGCAACAATATAATAAATGTTTACTTAATGTGACAATAAGTGACACAGAAGATAAATAAAATTTGCTTAATTTTCAGGGACGAGTCTATGTATCTCAGGCATTGCTGTTGCAGAGTTCCGTGTCCGAACACTCGACAGAATCTCAGTTACCTTTGAGTCACGTCAAGGTAATAATTAATTCACTAAGACGTATTGATAAGGAGTCTCTAGTGCTCTTCGAAACGAAGTCGCCGTGAGAACGCGTCGCAAAGTGGTCTCAATTTTTGAAAGGATGAATCACGAGAGGGTTTAAGAGCTTTCTGTTCTGTTCTCAGACGATCGCGGTGGACGAGCAAACTTTGAGAGAACGCGTTCCCAGACGAGAGAGCCTCGACCAGGCGCAATGGATCGCATTTTATAAGGTAAATTAATATTTCACCGCCTTCCAGCGATATTCGTCCTCGATACCCTTGGGCGTAAATGTAAACTCTCGTTCTTTAAAACCTGACGTCTTTCTTCGGCGTTGAATTCAATTTAACTTTAAGAGAAAGGTGCTTGAACTCCTCAGGGAAGCTCTCGGTGTATTTTAATCTCCAGCTGAGGGTTGATCTTAGTGAAGTGCTTGCTTAAATACTCTACAAGTTTTTCATCTTAAATATTATAGAAATATTAGCTCAAATATTATGGAAATGTTAGTTCAAATATTATAGAAATATTAGTTCAAATATTACAAAAATATTAGCTCAAATATTCTCTCATAGAGGTAGTAGTTACTCATGGTTGATATTTGGTCAAATTAGTTGCCACAAGCCAGTCATATTGGTTCGTGTATGTCCAACACATTTCAACAAACACATACTCCACCTATCGAACGTACTCGATAGGACAAGAACATACTCCACCTTTGTACGCACATATGGGAACGTATGTAGTCAATCGTCTGCGTTGAAATTACCACGCATTGCACTCTTTACGCGTTGTATTGCTACGCGCTGGGTTACCACGCGCTGTAATTACCACGCATTGCACTATCTACGCGTTGTATTGCTACGCGCTGAGTTACCACGTGTTGTAATTACCACGCATTGCACTCTCTACACATTGTAATTACCACGCATTGCACTATCTATGCGTGGTATTGCTACGCGCTGAGTTACCACGCGTTGTAATTACCACGCATTGCACTATCTATGCGTGGTATTGCTACGCGCTGAGTTACCACGCGTTGTAATTACCACGCATTGCACTATCTACGCGTTGTATTGCTACGCGCTGAGTTACCACGTGTTGTAATTACCACGCATTGCACTCTCTACACATTGTAATTACCACGCATTGCACTATCTATGCGTGGTATTGCTACGCGCTGAGTTACCACGCGTTGTAATTACCACGTGTTGTAATTACCACGCATTGCACTCTCTACGCATTGCACTCCCTACGCATTGTAATTACCACGCATTGCACTATCTATGCATGGTATTGCTACGCGCTGAGTTACCACGCGTTGTAATTATCACGCATTGCACTCTCTACGCATTGTAATTACCACGCATTGCACTATCTATGCGTGGTATTGCTACGCGCTGAGTTACCACGCGTTGTAATTACCACATATTGCACTATCTATGCGTGGTTAACGAGGATTTCCATCGACGAACGTGGAATATCTGGAAGTCTCAAATGGAGAGCCGCGGACAAATTGATGTCGAAAACGATCGCACCTCCGTCCGGCTAGTGCACGAGAAACGTACGAGCAGGAATTTGGGCATCGTTGATTGGTCTGACTGAATGTCACGACGGTGATTCGGCAGGTTCGATGAAAAATGAGCGTGGCTCTTCCGGCGGCTACGAACGGAATAATTGTGCCTCGGTGTTCGCCACTCGAGCGAGCTGCCTTTCGAATCGCGCCCGCAATTATTGTCGGCGAGCGACGGTGGCACTGACCGATGTTACCAATTTATCCGGGGCTCTCAACCCACGGGTACCCGCGTAATGGCGTTTTAATGGGTCCCGTTAAGAAAAAAACCGCGTCCGACGTGTACGCAGACGGGCCCCGTCGCCGGTATCGCGATCGCAATTCGTCACGGTCCTCGCAATTTTTTTCCAAGCCGAGACATGCCTTCGAATTATGCGGCGCGTTTAAGGGAGCCAAGTATTCGCTGATGGCGAAAGGATCGAGTGTTTTGACGTGAATCCGGCGTACCTACACCACCGGATAATTGATGTTGTCCCACGAATGTGCCCGGGTTTCGAGACGATACTTGCTGGACCGAGATTTCAAAGAGGACCAAGCTGTCGCGCGAGCCTCGTTCCTGATTGTCCACCCTTTTCAATGGGGATCATCTTTTTTTATGAACGCCTTTGCGGATCCGGCTCTCGTACATCTGGTTTAGTCCTGCTTATGTCTCGTGTTCTTATATAGTCCGTAGATTTAGCTACGCTATGGTGGTTCATATGTTCACATATGGTCGTATGTGGCCCGAGAGCAAGTTTTATCAAATTATTTATTTATAGAAAAGCAAGCTATAGACTCTTTTTAAGACTGTCAATGTTGAAATAATTATACACATTAATAGGCTAAAAGATCAGATTAAAAGATTAAGTATCTTTGTTTTTAATAATCTATATTTTAATGAGTCTGACCAGAACATCAGTTTTTACTATGGCAGTCAATGTATTAGACTATTGATATTCATTTTTGTGTTCCTTCATTCCTGTACAACATCAACTATCTTTCTCTATTTCGTCATAGTGTAAATATCAATCAGTAACTTTAAAATAAATATAGTGTTTGTAACTGGTCACTACCTGACGCACGTGGTGCGTCATAAGTTTCAGACATATCGTATCCCTACCTCAAAAATTCATTTTTGATTTGCATTACAAATACAGGTGTTCAATCCACGATGAAAGTACAAAGAATTTTTCCTTTCAAACCCTTTGAATTTTAAGTGAATCTATTGAATAGCGAAATTCGATTCCATTGAATCTTACGCCATTGATGAATACTAACTATACATTTATTATTTCGCACAAAGTGTCGGTGAGATCAATGCAGCTCAATCAAATATATCAAATCCACGTTATTGTTAGATTGAAAAACTTGAGAATTTTTAAACGAAATTGCAATTCTAACTAAACGTCTAAACCGCAGATGAAGAGAAGGATCTCCATGCTTACGTCCTTCGGTCTTTTGTACGTGAACGAGTTGGCGTTATTATTCAGTCATTGTTCGGCTGAAAATAGCACGATGACGAGTTCGTATCTGGCCATTGAGACGCTAGATATGTACCGATAAAGACGATAGTAAAGAACTAAAGACGAAACGCGAGGTGACTCCGACGACAGTTATTCGCGACCTTGTCGACGATCGATCGGGAATCATTACAAGGAGAAAATTTTGCCGTTCGCCGATGGAAAATGTTCGTAAATAACGGTCGCGATGTTCCTCTGGACAGGCATTAGCTTAGCTTGTCGTTTAGTCACGCGTTGAATTCCTCGGCGGAAAGTAAGGACTCCTCTTTCGCGAAACATCCTGAGAACGAGCCGTGCGTAATCGAATGCGTCGACCTCCGGTGTTCTCGATTATAAGACGTTCAACTTTCTTGATCCCGGTGAAATATGTGCGGCGATAAATAAATCTGTTTCCCATTACTTCTGAACCATCTAAACACGTCAGACAATTAGTTTATGGAGTTAATCAATTTCCAGTCTGTTTTTAATTTACTGCGTTAAAATAATGGCGGAGAGAGAAATCTAAATACTATTAAGATCGTACCGATAACAGGTATCGACACGAACGATCGAACTGAAAAATGATTTATGACAACCGAACGTGTTAATTATACCGGGCGATCTTAGAAGAGGAAACAAATGGCTCTCTATTCTCAGTAGACCGTAATTGATTTTTCTAACCGTCTTGCAACATACATCATCCCGTTAGAAGCTACTACCGAACTCCAGAAGTCAACGTCCGCAGAAATCGACCGAAGAATTATTAACGATCGCTAGTCATCGGAGATAAAGTTTGAGTTATAGCGATCGTCGAATCGTTTTGACAACGATACCGGGGAAGTCAGCAAGCGAATTGCCTCTGGCGATAGCCGATCTCTCGATCGATCGATCTATCATGATTTCACGAAATTAAGACGTCAATTGAGCGTGCGATCCACCTTGCGAGTTGTAATGTGCTCATAATTCGCTTGTCTGTGATGAATGTGTATCGTTTAAACTTACTTTGCGGCATGTAAACTTCCAATTAAGAATTGTCGCGGTTAATAACATTGCCACGAGTTGTATCTTTGCTATTTATTGTCATGCGGTGCTTTTATCACGCTTTGTCGTGTGTGTTGTATTTGTCGAGTGTATAGTTGCTTCGCGTTATACTGCTGTTGGTTGAATTACCACGCGTTATAGTTTCTACGCTTTGTATTTTCTACGCGTGGTATTGTTACTCGTGGAATTACCACGCGTTACAGTTTCTACGCGTTGTATGTACCATGTGTTGTATTCCTACGCGTTGAGTTACCACGCGTTGGAATTACCACGCATTGTACTTTCTACGCGTGGTATTGCTACTCGTGGAATTACCATGCGTTACAGTTTCTACGCGTTGTACTTACCACGTGTTGTATTCCTACGCGTTGAGTTACCACGCGTTGGAATTACCACGCATTACACTTTCTACGCGTGGTATTGCTACTCGTAAAATTACCACGCGTTACAGTTTCTACGCGTTGTATTTACCATGCGTTGTATTGCTACGCGTTGAGTTACCACGCGTTGGAATTACCACGCATTGCATTTTCTACGCGTGGTATTGCTACTCGTGGAATTACCACGCATTATACTTTCTACGCGTAGTATTGCTACTCGTGAAATTACCACGCGTTACAGTTTCTACGCGTTGTATTTACCACGTGTTGTATTGCTACGCGTTGAGTTACCACGCGGTGGAATTACCACGCATTCTACTTTCTGCGCGCTGTATTCGCAACGCATTCATCACGCATTACATATATCACTCATAGTATTTACCACGCATTGCATCTGTCATGTACAGTATTTCCCTCGTAACATTTATCACGTGTAGTGTTTGTTATAGTACTCGCCACGCGTTGTATTACCACGTCAAATATTTCCCACGCAACTCATGGTATTTACTCCTCGCTGTATTTGTCATGTCTTACATTCACGCCTATTAGAGCCACTTTTCTCGTACTTTAAAATGAAATACCGCATTAACTTAATATCAAGTCCTACCACAAAATACATGCATCTCATAAATCTTTCCCAGCTTTCTACTATATTGAATACAATACATAATTGACTGAGAGGTAAATTGAAACATTAAGAAACGACTCATTAATCGATAATCAATATTATGACCCGTCAAAGCAGTTCTACCGTACCGGTGTTAACTGACCTTTAATTAAAGGTTCTGTTGACAGGCCTAAAGAATCTACCAGTCATCGTAAAAGCGCGTTTTATATTTATGTGCGAATGATTCCATGTGATTGGAATTTTCGATCGATCAAGAATGCACCGTAACGAGCGAGCAAATCGGGACGGACTAATGGCTAGGTGTGCCTGTTCTGCATTCTGCGTACGGGTGTCAATAGCAGCTAATGCTTATTGCAATTTAAAAGTCTGGATCGCTTGTCATTCTTCTCGCTCGTATGTTTCTAATTTTATTACCGGCATTTCGCGTACCTTACAACTCTTCTGACAATTTTCAGGAGCACTGTATCACTTGATATATCTTCTGATAAATATGCAGATTTAATTCCACGTGTTTTGCAAGTATAATCGAGTAGATAGTGTTAGGCATGGATTGTTATAATTGCCATTATTCAGCGTTCACTGATTCAAATTTTGTAGTCTGAACCTCGAGAGGTTAATGCACCAGTGAATATAGGAATTTGGGAACATACAAATCGTACATACAAATTTTTTATTATAAGTTTATAAAATATTCTACACTATTGCATAATCTTATATGTTTCTTTGCTATGTTTCATTAAGAAAACTTTGAGAACAAATCGGGGTGTATACAAATTTTTTATTTTGAGTTTATACAATATCCTACACTACTGCATGATCTTATATGTTTCTTTGCTATGTTTCATTAAGAAAACTTTGAGAACAAATCGGGGTGTATACAAATTTTTTATTTTGAGTTTATAAAATACCCTACACTATTGCATGATCTTATATGTTTCTTTGCTATGTTTCATTACGAAAACTTTGAGAACAAATCGTGGTGTATACAAATTTCTTATTTTAAGTTTATACAATATCCTACACTATTGCTTGGTTTTATATGTTTCTCTGTTATGTTCCATTACAAAAACTTAAATGCTCAAACTATCGGGCCTGTATCAACCTGTATCAAATCCCATATCAATAAATATACACCTGTATCCCATTTCTCTAGATTAACTGTGAATATAAAATGAACGCTATGTCGTTTTGCAGGAGTACGACGGCCTGATGACGGAATGGCAGGCAGCCGGTCGCAGACTGGCCCTGGAGATGTCCGAGCTGAAGGAATGCAGCAGCCTGTCCGGTGCGTTGACGCCTCTCGGTCGCCTGCTCACGGACCCCACATTAAGAAGAACATCCCGAGACGCGGAGGAGGCGATCTCCTCTCTGGAAGAGCGTGCCTCGCCATTGTTGCACCTGGAGCACATTAGGTTAGAGAGGCAACAGACGGTCCGCTAGAAAGCGCAATATCCGCGGGCGAATCTCGTCGAGTCACCGATCGATACGTTATTGAAACTTATTATCGTCCGTTCCCGTTTCCCTCTTCGGATTTTATATACGTTCCACTTTAATTAGCAGCTCGTGTCCGCGATCTCTCCGTTCGATTCGTCGATAAAGTAGCGACGATTTCCTCTGTGAGTTTTTTTCAAAAACTTTCTCGAGTTGCCTGTCGAGCTTGCGTGACAGAAGGATATACAGTCGATTGCCGGTTGGATGGGTTTCTGACGTCTGAACCCTGGAGATAAGATTCACCTGTTAGTAGGAGGCTTCGGCGTAGGGCTCGATGTTTCGTTAGCGATAGGCCGGCTACGCGAATTCCTAACGGTGCGTCGCGATCATGGCGCTTCCTTTTTTATCTTTACAGATTGGCGGTGAAACGGGCACGGAGATTGGTCGAGGAGGTCGGGAACGCCGCCACTAGGTTGGAATCGTCGTTCGAATCGCGACGAGCGACCATCCGCAATCTCGCGGTTCTGAGAAGCATCGAGGACCAAGCGCACGAGGTAATATAAATCCAGATATTAACTCGTTCGATATTCTCTAATGTGTAGAACAAGTAGCCGGACAAATAGCTAGGAGGGAGAGGCCCAGCTACTTGTCTGACCACTAGTTCAGGTAAAGATCTATCTGAATGTCACGAACCTCTTCTCGAAAAAATACTCAAGTCTCGTCAGACATTTTCAGAATATATTTGCTAGATAAATTCATACCGTTGCCGAGTCGTTATGTAGCAAAGGTAAATACAGTCTCCTAGCACCGACTGCATATGGTTGTTATACCGGTGCCTGATTTAAAAATTAAATCGTGCATTCCAGTGGGGGTTCGCGCTTGCAATAAGGCTTAGGTGTATCTCATTATGGTACAAGAAAGGGTGAAGTTATCATCGAATTATCTCTCATACGTGTACTCGATAATTACAAAACAAGGAACACATACGAGTTACACAATCCTCCCCGATTCGATCTCGAGGACGCGAACAAAGGGCTCGTTGTGCCCATCGATACTTTCTCCTCGAAAATTGCACGGCTGGTCGATCCGGCGTCGTCTCGAATCTTCGTGGAACGACTGGCAGATCGATCGTCCGGTCGGGTTCCCTCGATCACGGATCCAGGCTTTTCCACGGGCACAGGAGCACCGGCCTCCGGGTAACCTCGTTTCTGGCATCCCCGACGACCTCGAGTCGATGTTCGACCTCGTTTGCGGGGAGTCGTGTGCTCGAATACTCCAGTCCCCTTCCTGTACCCTGAATGACTCGTGGTAAACAGTCAGGCGAATGTTTACCTCTCTAAGTGGCACAACCTTCGATCAACGCCTTACCATTTAGGGAGGTATTCGTTTCTCGGTGTTACGCTATTATCTGCCAGTCGATCGCTTGTCTTTGAATTCTTAGGGAGCCAGAGCGGATGAAACACGCAGAACCGCTGCAAGTGGCACGGGCATACTTTAACGCGTCGCCTTTTATGGAGGAGAGAATATAATGGGTAATCTTGAGATTTAGGGAGCGATGAATTAGGACGTGGTACTTTACATAGAGGTACATGTATGAATTAGGACATGCTACTTCACATAGAGGTACATGTATGAATTAGGACATGCTACTTCACATAGAGGTACATAGAGGTACATGTTCTTGAGATTTAGGGAGCGATGAATTAGGACGTGGTACTTTACATAGAGGTACATGTATGAATTAGAACATGGTACTACATATAGAGGTACATGTATGAATTAGCACATGGATACTACACATAGAGGTACATGTATGAATTAGAACATGGTACTACATATAGAGATACATGTATGAATTACAACATGCTACTTCACATAGAGGTACATGTATGAATTAGGACATGGATACTACACATGAGGTACATGTATGAATTAGGACATGCTACTTCACATAGAGGTACATGTATGAATTAGAACATGGTACTACATATAGAGGTACATGTATGAATTAGAACATGGTACTACATATAGAGGTACATGTATGAATTAGAACATGGTACTACATATAGAGGTACATGTATGAATTAGAACATGGTACTACATATAGAGGTACATGTATGAATTAGGACATGCTACTTCACATAGAGATACATGTATGAATTAGGACATGGATACTACACATGGAGGTACATGTATGAATTAGAACATGCTACTTCACATAGAGGTACATGTATGAATTATTTCACATAGGGGTATATGTATGAATTAAGACATGATACTACACATAGAGGTACATATATGAATTAGGACATGGATACTACACACAGAGGTACATGTATGAATTAGAACATGCTACTTTACATAAAGGTACATGTATGAATTATGACATGGATACTACACACAGAGGTACATGTATGAATTAGAACATGCTACTTCACATAGAGGTACATGTATGAGTTAGGACATGGTGCTACACATGGAGGTATATGTATGACCTAGGACATGGTACTTCACATAGGGGTATATATATGAATTTGGACATGGTACTAGACATATAGGTATATGTATGACTTAGGACATGGTACTTCACATAGAGGTATATGTATGAATTAGGACATGGTACACATTTTTAGGAGTCTGTTGACTATCAGAATTTGAAGACCTATTTGGCGTTCTACGAATCTATGAATCTAGCAATGGTAATGTAGAAATCGATGGACGTCAGGATGTGGAAGTATAAATATTTGAATACAAATACAAGAATCTGGGGATCTAATGATCTTGAAATGTAGGAATCTAAGAATCTATAAATCCAAGAATCTAAGAATCTATAAATCCAAAAATCTAAGAATCTATAAATCCAAGAATCTAAGAACCTAAAAATCCAAGAATCTAAGAACCTAAAAATCCAAGAATCTAAGAATCTATAAATCCAAGAATCTACGAACCTAAAAAACCAAGAACCTAAGAACCTAAAAATCCAAGAATCTAAGAACGTAGAAACATGAAGTAATAAATCTATCGATCCAGAAATTTGGAAACCTATCTAGAAATTTGAAAACCTTGAGAACCTAAAAATGCAGTAACCTATGTCCCTTAAGTACGCGAATTGTCCATAACACACTGTGAAGCCATGACATTAAGGGGATCATTTAAGTTTGCGGGGGTGCATATTCACGGGCGAGGATAATCGATAATCGGCACCGTAACGTCGATAAATGGTCGACGAGCGTTGTGAGAATCGGCTACGGTGGTGGATCGCGGAAGGAGGATCGGGTTTCGATTCCTCGCGAACTCGCGACAGACAGCGCGGCTCCACGGCGCGGAGAACAGGTCCCGCTTAGGTAAAAAACGCTCGTTCTCGCGTGAATATCCTGTGAATTTGCGGTGATTCGATCGAGCGTCGTAAAGAGAAGGAGAATCGACGAAGCTGTTGGACCGTATCGTTGAAATCTGTGGGATTTCGAGATTCTATCGAAGACTATCTAATATCAGCTGTTATATTATGAGGTGTTACGTAATATACAAGGTGTTGGAGAGGATTTCAGCTACGATAAAGGAAATTCCATTTAACGCGTCGAGTGTCGTGGGGTCATCGGTGATCGGTATCACGAATTTAATATACTTGGACAGTTAGAAAAGAAAATGGAGGGAATGATTTTAAATAGAATGTCGTGTTGTTGGCTGTCAAATCGGATGCTTGACTCTCGCACAGTGTCGGGTCACTTATGACCCAGACCTATGGAACGCATACAATAATTAAATACTCTAATCAATTGCGGAAGTCTTTCGTACGTCGGACATTTAATACAAACACTTAAAATTCTAGTTATTCAAAGATTAAAGAATTGAATCGCTTTCGTTAATATAGATAACATTTCACAGGAAAAGAATAATTATTCGCTAACAAGGGTATAATCTTCCCTGGGAAAATTAGAATGCACAATTCTAATATAAACTATTCACCAAACAATGACTAGACGAGTCATAAAAATAGCTTTGAATAAGACCTCGAATTCGAGGAAGGAAAATTATGTAAAACGTTCCGGGAATTGGGAAAATAATTGCAGCTCGCGCACCTTGTCCCTCATTGTTCCGAACAATCATCGCGTGGTTAACCATCCCATGGTGGTTAATGGCCGAGCAGAACCGTGTTATTTACAATGGCTCATTGTATTATGCTAATTAAACGTGTAATCAGCGTGCACCACGTGTACCGCGTAGAACTGACACGAGGCTTGACACGATCTGCGAGCGTATGTGCGACACACGTGACAGCACCGACTCCACCGGAAAAGCACGCGGACATGCTGTCTGTACGATCATGCGAATCTGGAAACTGAAGTTTAGCTGATTCACCCGTTACGTCTATTATGATGTAATCTACACGTGCTAGGACATAACTGTCTCATATGCCACATTTTGATAGATTAATTCAGTTTGTGATGTTCATTTGTTGAGGAATTTTAGTTGTACTGCTGAAGAATATGGGGATTTTGAGATAGTGGGATTTTGGGGGGTGGAGATTTTGGGGTATAGGAATTTTTGGATGTGGAGTGGTGGAAATTGGTAGTCGGAAATTTGGAGATTTGGGGGAGTAGAAATTGGGGGCGTAGGGATTCGGAAGTGTAGGGTTTCGGGGGAGGAGGAATTCGGGGATGTAGGGATTCGGGGGAGTAGAAATTGGGTGCGTAGGGATTCGGGAGAATAGGAATTCAGGGATATAGGGATTTGGACGCGTAGGGATTCGGGGGAATAGGGATTCGGAAGAGTAGAAACTCGGACGAGTGGAAATTCGGGGATGTAGGAATTCGGGGGAGTAGGAATTTGGAAGAATGGAAATTCGGGGATATAGGGATTTGGATGCGTAAGGATTCGGGGGCGTAGGAATTCGGGGATATAGGGATTTGGACGCGTAGGGATTCGGGGGAATAGGGATTCGGAAGAGTAGAAACTCGGACGAGTGGAAATTCGGGGATGTAGGAATTCGGGGGAGTAGGAATTTGGAAGAATGGAAATTCGGGGATATAGGGATTTGGATGCGTAAGGATTCGGGGGCGTAGGAATTCGGGGATATAGGGATTTGGACGCGTAGGGATTCGGGGGAATAGGGATTCGGAAGAGTAGAAACTCGGACGAGTGGAAATTCGGGGATGTAGGAATTCGGGGGAGTAGGAATTTGGAAGAATGGAAATTCGGGGATATAGGGATTTGGATGCGTAAGGATTCGGGGGCGTAGGAATTCGGGGATATAGGGATTTGGACGCGTAGGGATTCGGGGGAATAGGGATTCGGAAGAGTAGAAACTCGGACGAGTGGAAATTCGGGGATGTAGGAATTCGGGGGAGTAGGAATTTGGAAGAATGGAAATTCGGGGATATAGGGATTTGGATGCGTAAGGATTCGGGGGCGTAGGAATTCGGGGATATAGGGATTTGGACGCGTAGGGATTCGGGGGAGTAGGGATTCGGGGATGTAGGGATTCGGGGGAGTAGAAATTCGGGGCGTAGGGATTCGGAAATTTTGGAATTCGGTGATATAGGGATTTGGACGC